AGGAGGGGGAGGAGTAGGAGAGGACGAGGAGACGGAGGAGGAGGAGGCGGAGGAGGATGAGGAAGAGGAGGAAGACGAGTAATACTAGTAACACTAGCAGTACGAAGGATACTAGGAGTACGACTTATGAGCATACGACAGGGGAATCAAACTACTTACTATTCAGACGAGGAGGAGGAGGAGGAGGAGGAGGAGGAGGAGGAGGAGGAGGAGCAGGAGGAGGAGGAGGAGGAGGAGGCGAATGACTACTAGTACGACTAAGACTAGTGGTACTACTACGCGTAAGCGTATACATAACAATATTACGGGTACCAAACTTAATAACAATATTTCTAACCATGGTAATAACAATAATACTCTTACGAATGCGAAGGCGAAACCAGCATACGGCTAAACAGAATCCGGCTAAGCAGTATACCAACACTAACAAGAATAAGACACATAAGAAGAGGACGAGGAGGAGGAGGAGGAGAAGGGGGAGGTGGATGAGGAGGAGGTTTGTGTGTGTGCGTGGTCAATGGAGGCGGGCGCAGGAAAGACACATCCTCTCTGGGCTTGGCGGTGGGCGTCCAGAGGAGGCCCCACCGCACTGCATCCGAGTGGGAGGGCTGCCCCTCCCCCCATCGCCGCGAGGCTCTGCGGTCGGAGCCCCCCAAAAGCGTAGCACCGTGGTTGCGCTATTCGAAATTCACTGCGCCCATTTTCGAGTAGGGGGCCAGCTACAGGATTGATCAACCCCAGCATTGGTTTTCTTGTCGGAGTTACGGGTTACGGGCCATACGTAGAATGCTCGTCGGTCTACGGGGCATTACATGTTTTTCCCACAACTTGAGTGGGGTTCTTGTTTTCCTAGAACACCCTCTCCTTCTCCCCCTCCTCCTCCTTCCTCCTCCTCCCTCCTCCTCCTCATCATCCTCCTTATACTCCTCCTCCGCCTCCTCCTCTACCATACCTACCATCTCATACCATACCTACCCTACTATACCATACCATACCACACCTACCATACCACACCTAATCTACCATACCAGACCTACCATACCTACCATACCAGCCGTACCATACCATACCATACCATGCCATACCATACCATACCATAAATCGACCTACTATACCATACCTACCATTACACATCCTTACTTCTTATGATTAAGCACCCCCGCATCCCCACCTAGCCGGTCGATAGCAACCCCGCAGTCCTCCTATCAGAAAACAACACAAACTCAATTGTTTCTCGCCAACATGTCGTCGAGTTGCGAAAAGTTGACGGAATGAACATTGCTTGGGTAACCCTAGGCGGGTGATCGCGTCCTACCCATCAACAAACAATACAAAGTCAACGTTTTTCTCGTCAACATGAACTTTCTTGTCGTTGACGCTGCGAAAAGTGTGGCAGTAATGGGACGCGGCGCACATCGCGCGCGGACGCCTGGCCAACCCTACGCTGGAACCCCCGTCCTACCTTTAAAACACCGCAACGTCGACGTTTTTCTTGCCAACATGCACTTTCTTCTCATCGGCGCTCCGAATCGCGTAGCGGGAACGGGACGCGGCGCATATCGCGCGGGGACGCCTGCTCGTCAACATGGACTTTCTTGTCGTCGACGCTGCGGCCCGTCGGGTTCAGGAGCTGGGCGGGCGGCAAGTCATCATGCCTCAAGCAAGTGCGGTTCGCCGCCGGCGCGCCCGTTGTCGTGTCCACGTAAGAGAGACCTTTGGCAACAGTGACCTTTGGTGCGCACAAATCGAACCAACATCGACCCCCAGACCCGTCCGGCCGTGGCAAAAAGGGCCGCCCCCGAAAACCAAAAAACAGCGCACAACGGCCTCCGGGTGTCCTTTCCAGACGGCCCAAGCGGGCTCCACGACAGCTCCAAGATAACCCAAGAGGCCCCCAAGAGGGCCCCAAGTCGGCTCAAGAGGACCTCCAGATCGCCCAACAAGTTCCCAAGTGGACCCCAAGACGGCCCTAAAGTGCTGCAGGACGTGGTCAAAACGGCCCAGAGAGGCCCGCAAGACGGCTTCCGAGGGCGTCAGACGGGCCACGACCCCCCTGGACGGCCCAAGTGGCGCCGAGAGGCTCCCAAGAGGCCCCTAAGAGACCCAAGGAAACCCCGAGAGGTATTATAAAACGGCGTCCAGGAGGTCCTGGGGGGAAGCATTTTTTTTGGGGGGGGGGTTGAAGGATTGGTGAGGTTAGCGCCAACTTGTGTTGACAATGTTCCAACCCAGAACATATATCAAAGAGGCAGTCAGGCGTATACCAGAAAACTCCCAAGACTCCCCGCGAATACCCAAGAGGCATTCGCATCTTCCTCCTCAGTTTCTCCCTCCCTCCCTCTCTCCCTCCCCTCCTCCTCCTCCTCCTCCTCCTCCTCCTCCTCCTCGTCCTCCTCCTCATCCTCCTCCCCCTCCTCCATGCGCGGCAGGAACGAAACGATTGGCGGTGCAACCTGCGTGGCTGGAACGAGACGCGGCGCACTTCGCGCGCTGGACATGCTGTCGCCGACGATGCAACATGAGAGGTCGGAGACTGCGCGGCGTACATCGCGCGCGGTCTTGTTTCTCGTCGACGTTGCTCAATACGCGGCAGGAGGAGGACGCAGCTCATGTCGCGCGCTGAACGTTCAGCCGCCCACGATCTAAAATGTGCGGCAGGCGTCGGACGCGACGCACTTGCTTCTTATGTTGTGGGGGAGTGGGTGGGAGTGGACGGATCCCTCTGGTTCGTTCGATTTGGCTAACTTGATCATACCGTACCATACCATACCATACCATACCAAACCAAACCATACTATACCTACCATACCATACCACACCTACCATACCAAAGCTACCATACCATACCTACCACTCTAGGGAAACCACGCCAGAGAGGCCACTCCCACCCCCACTCCTCCAGGGACGCCCCGCCTGAGCGAGGAGGGTATCCGCAAACCTTGTAATTCATAAGGCTTCTTGCCCCTCCCACTCTTCCAGGGAGGCCCCGCCTGAGCGAGGAGGGCATTCGCAGTTCATATTTCTTATCAGGTTTCGTGCCCCTCACACTCCTCCAGGGACGAACGTGTTTCCTGAGCAGCCGTCGTCATCCTCCCTGCTGCTCCCCCTCCTTGCCTTCGTCTGCCGCTTCTTTCGCACGTGCCTTTGCGACGGCCGTTCCATTCATATTGCTATTATTTTGCCCCATTGACCACACGAGGTCCTCAACATTCTTATGTGGGGAACTCTTTTTTGCATAATTTTCGACGAGACCTCAACTTTAGGTACATTCATCCTGTATTCGATCCCCTGCTCGACACCTACTCCGTCGACAGACGAGCTTCCATCCTCGAAGCCATCGTCACTGCTTCGGCCGCCCGGGGGGCCTCTCTGGCCGCCAGTGCCGGTGTCTCTGTCCTCCCATGGGGATCGCTCGGACGTGTGCATTTTTCCTTCGGCGAGGACCATCGAGGAGCAGCCTTGATCATTTGGCGAAGAAACCACGCACGAAACAGACAAAAACACAGGGAATGGATGTCCGAGCGATGGCGTGAGAGGCGCATGGGGCCTCCCGGAGCTTCTGGTGCTCCCATGTGGCCTCCAGGGGCCTGCCGGCGGCCCGCGTGAGCCACCGCGTAAGGTCGCTGTGCCATCTCGCGAAGGCCCGTTTTTGATCGGCGCCCAGTTGCTGCCGTGCCTCAGGTTCTCATGGGCTCTCCTGTCGGCGTCACCCCACCATACTGGTACTAAGCGAGCGTCGCCCCCCCAGGGGCGACGCACGCACCGAGAAATCTTCTAGTATATGCGCCGTGGCTCGGGCGTTTTCTGGCCACACCGCTCGGGAAACGATTACACTACCAGATGGGCATACTGTATCTTGGGTCGGACGCGCGCTTCCAAGGAGGACGTATAGTACTAGTATGTCTTCGTGCGTCCCATCCTGGTGCCTCCATGATCGCGAGTCCGCACAGGGTGTGTGTGTGTGTGCCCCGGTGTGTTGTGTGTGAGAGAGAGAGAGAGAGAGAGAGAGAACAAACAAAAAATATAAAAAGTTCGATCGGTTTTTTGCACCGAGCCGCCCAGAACATATGCCCCCCAGCCGCCGGCAGCTTCCAATGGTTGCCGATAGCTGGAGCATGCGGGGGACGTCTGTTTGCGCCAGTTCGGTGCACCAGCGGATCGAACTCATGCCCCCCCTCAGGGTCACCCACCCTTTGGTGGATCCCCCGACAGGAGTCGCAAAGCAAGAAAAAACACATAACCACATAGTTTCTCGGAGCTCCGCGCGGATTTCTCTCGGATCGGCGGTAGCCTCCCCTGGCGGCGCCTTTGGCGGAGTCCACGAAGTCCGCGCGGAGCTCTGAAAGTTCGCGATCATGCAGTCTCTTCTTCTTCTTCTTCTTCTTCTTCTTCGTCTTCGAGTGCCTCCAGGAGGCTCTTCGGCCCTCCTGGAGCCTCCAGTGGTCTCCCGAGGGCCCACGAGGCTGCGATGGGGCGACATGCGAGCGGGGTCTGGCTGGGGAGCTGAGGTGGGGCATTACTGGTTCCAGCAGTTAGAGGGGGGAGAGACCCCCAATGCGCCTCCGACATGCATGGGAGCGGGGGTAAGACGGCGGACGAAGTAACCTTCGGTTGCGCCTCAGGTGGTAGCGCAGGAGGAGGAAGCCCCCCCAGCTTAGAGCAGCGGGCCCCTCGACGACCCCGCATCGGAGGTCGGAAGCGGCTCGAGCACCCGCTCTGGGCAAGCCGGCGGTCCCTTCGACGCCCCCGTCGGAGTGGCTGAGATGAGGCAGGGTGGACGGGGAGGAGACGCCTGGGCGCGACGACACGCTGAGCACGTCCTGGTACCTGCGCGTCAACGCCCCGAGCCTGTCTCGGCCTCCCGCCCCACGAGGCAGAGCGACACGCCCTCCGCTTGCACGGCACAGCGCGTCGTCGAGGCCGATGTTGCGGCACGCTGAGCAAAAGCTCACGACCGTAGCTCGCTTGAGGCGGGCCTGCGGTGGCTGGTGAGGTTTTCTGTCGCTGAGCCATCATGGCAGAAGAGTTGATATTCTCGATCCCCCCCATCCGGTGCCTATTGTGCTTGTTTCGCTTGAAATGCCCCTCCATGGGTTCGCACCTTTTTTTGCCAGGGGATGTCTTAGGCCTTAGACTGGGCTGTTAGCCCCCGAGCTACCGTACCTCACAATGTATTGAAGAATCTGGTTCTCGCTCGCGACTTCCTCACAACTTATCCAGAACCGCGCTCTTGCCCAAGACTCCTTATCCAATTATTAACGACTCGCGTTCTCTGCGCCCTGGAATCGCCCTCTCGCTCGGGATTTCCTCATACATTACTCAAGACTTGCGCTCTCGCGTCAGACTTCCTTGCCGTCTCATCTTGCACCCCTTTCGTCCTCCATCTAGTCCATCGCTCCCTCTTGCCCTTTTCCCTCCTCCCTCCCTACCTCCACTCCCTTCCTCCTCGCTCTCTGTCTCTCTCTCTCTCTCTTCCATTGTTTTTGTTCTCCCTGTCTTAGGGGCGGCGCTAATTGCATGTGGCAGGGAAGGAAGGTAAAGGGGGTACGATCGCAGACGAAGGGGGTGGGTATCGAGGGCTTCGGAGATACATGTTCGATGACACACGATCATAGGTCGCCTGGCCGTTTGTTCCGACGCGCGGCCTTCCATCTTGGGGAGGGCGCCGCGCCCACCAGGGCAAACTCCGCCTCCGACGCGGTGGGTTTGCCGTGGGGTCTGCCGCGGTGCCGGTCTACTTGGGGCGCGGGGTGCAAGGTTTGCCGTGGGTTTGTCGTGTCGTCGGTGTCGTCCACTTGGGTGCGTCGAGGACGGACGGCGCGGCGACACACGAGAGCGAGCAGTCTTAAAATGATTGCTGCTGCTGTGTCTTCTACGGACGGGCCGTGGCCCGTGCTCCGTCGGACGGGGAGGGGCAGGACGAGGCGATCGCCCGAGCTGGTCCCACCTGGTGCGCACTGTGTCCTCCTGGCGCCTGCGGGGGGGGGCTCTTTGGCTCTTCGGGAGCCCGCTGCGCCTCTCGGCCCGTCGTGGAGGCCACTCATGCCGCTTTGGGGCCCTCCTGGGCCACCCCGGGGCGCTGTTGGAGGCTTCCTGGGTCATCCTGGAGCGATTCCGGAGGCCTCTTGGTCCGTCTTGGGCTTGGGGGAGCCCCGGCATCGACGTCGCAAACAATTTGTGGTTCGGCTGGCGCATTTGGAATGTCCGCGGACCGTCTTGTCGGCGAAAGAGGGAGTCTTGGTGCGGGCCATGGCCACGGCAAGCCGTGGAGGAAGAGGGCGAGGAGCTCGCCGCCACACTTTTCGATTATCCGAGGAGGAGAAGGCACCAATGCCGCCACTCTCGCCCTTCTCCGTCTTTGCTTTTCGGGCCCCTGGAGAACCGTCGTCGAAACGCACCCCAGAAGATTCTGCGGAGGAACGGTATCGGTTTTTTGTCCCACATTTGGTTTCCGTCTCGGAGCTGTATCTGGAGCCCCAAGGCGGTATGCGACGCTGCTCCGAGCGGCCCAGGGGCCGTGTGTGGCGTTACTGGGAACGCGAGATTTTCTGGTTGCCCGTGGTTCGGTGCCACTCGTTCGGCGGCCCCTTCGGCTGGCCGTGGTTGGTGGGCGGCTCTGTGGCCCATGTTTCGGTGACCCACGGGGCTCGGTGGCCCATAGTGCGTGAGATGGCCCGTGGATGCGGCGGCCCGTGGTTCGAGGATCCACTGTTCGGTGGTCCGTGGTTCGGTGGCGCGTGGTCAGGTTGCCCGTGGTCCGTTGGCCCGCGGTGCGCTCGTCCGTGATTCGGAGGCCCGCGGCTCGTCGGTCCATGGTGCGTTCGTGCGTGGTTCGGGGGCATTTGTGGCTCATCGCCCTGAGGTTCGCTTGGTTTGGCGGGCCAGCGTTCGGTGACTTTTGCCTCGGTGGCCTGTGATTGGTTGGGCCTGTGATTGGGTGGCCTTTTCCTCTTTACTCCGCGATCCGTGTTATGTGGTTCATGGTTATTAGTTTCTTTTCGTTTGTTCAGGTTTCGTGGTCCATGGTTCGTGGTTTTCGACCACGTGATATTAGTGGTTCCAGACTCGTCATCGCCATTCTTGCTCTCAAGGGCTTGCTCCTCGTAACCCGTGGCTCTCTGCCCATGTGCCGTTGTCGGTGTCTTTCACGGCTCTTGCTCTGTCGCCGTTCCCAACCCCAGGCGGTCCTGTAAGGACCGAACCTCTCGCAGATGAGGGCTCGCGCCCGTCGCTTCGTGTGAATCGGGTTTCCACTCCTGGAAGGTTGAATTCGTCATCGGCCTTGGTAGTTCCGTGGCGCTAATCCAGCCTCGTCCAGCTCAGTCCTGCCTGGTCCGGCTGCACTCGGCCTGGTCCATTTGTCAGGGTAAGCAAGTCGAGTTTAGTAGTTTCACATTCTGTCCGCAAGAACCTCGCAGGAACAGCCACCTCCTCATTCCAACATCGTCCTGAGATCTCTTCTCAGGTGCGTTCATAATATAATTCCGAAGGGAATCCGACCGAGATGGCGAGAAGCTTCCTGGAGGCCACGAAGATTTCCACAACGTTCCGTAGCCGTTTTGGCTCAGGTGTTGTTCAAGTTTGCATGCTTACCCCTACCGATATCAATGGGTGCCTGCACGAGTCTGGCCCAGCCCCGCCATGGAAAGAACCAGCCTCCTGGGAGCACCAAGGAGCACCGCTCTGGCCTTACGAAGGTTGTTTACAGCAAGAATCCGAGGATTCATAAGGCTTACGACGTCGATTCGAAGAAGCTCGGTGAGGGAGGCTGCGGTGCGGTGCATCGCGCGACCCAGCGCGCGTCGGGCAGGGAGCGTGCCGTAAAGTGCATGAGTAGTCAAAGCCCGCACCAGGCCCTGCACTGCAGGCGGGAAATCTCGATCATGGGTTCTGCCGACCATCCCAACATCGCCAAATTAATGGAGACGTTCCAGGACGGCAAGTACACGTACTTGGTGATGGAATTGTGCAGAGGAGGCGACTTGTTGTCGAGGATGGTGGCCTGTGGCGGTTCACTCTCAGAAGAGTATGCCGCGATGGTACTTCAGCAGATCTTTCGAGGCACACTCTATCTGCACCAGTGCTCGATCGCTCATCGTGATCTCAAGCCTGGCAACCTGCTCTTTGCGAACGATGGCCCCGTGCGCGGCAACACTTTGAAGATCATCGACTTTGGCCTGGCGCGTAAGTTCGCCGCCGGGGAGATGCTCGCGACGAAGGTGGGGACGCCGTCCTTCGTGGCGCCCGAGGTACTAGCGGGGACGGGCTACGACGAGCAGTGCGATATCCGGCAGCCTGCGGTACGTTCCGCTGCCGTGCAGGCCCAGCACCTTGGGTGGCGACAGTTCGGCGGCGCACGGGAGGCCGCAACGGGTGGCACCTCGTGTCCCGAGTTCTTGGGGGAGCCGTAACACTTGACACGCTCGTGTCGGGGGTTCTCTTCTCGTCTTCGGCGCCTTCCTCCTGCCGCTCTTCTGTCGTTCCTCTTCCCCCCTTCCGTTTTTTGAACCTTTGAACGCGAGGCCTCCCGTGGGCCTCCTGAGGGCCTGTTGGAGGCCCCTTGAGGGTGTCTTGAGGGCTTCTTGGGGCGTCTTGGGGGCGTCTTGGGGGCGTTTGGGGGGCGTCTCGGGAGCCTCTTGGGGCCTCTAAGCGCCGTCGCGGGGCGCTCTTGGGCCGTCTGGCGCCTGTGGAGACCCTCTTGGGAATCTTTCGCCGTCTTGGAAGTCTCTTGGGCTTTCTGGGGACTGGCTTGGAGCGATCTTGAAGGCCTTTTGGACAGCTCTTTTGCTGTCTTGGGGCCCTCTTGGAAGTCTCTCGGGCCGTCTTGGGGCGATCTTGGGTGCCCCTTGGACCATCTTGAGCGGGCGGAAGTCCGAACATGTGAGAACAGGAACATGCTTTGAACCCATTCAGACAATATCAGAGTGAAAGGGGGGCGAGCGGTCTTACACCATCTCTGGGTGCGTGCCTGAAGCGGGCTTCCTCGGTGAGGATGTTCATGTTGTTAGTTGTTGTTTGATCGTGGTCCCAGGAGCGCGGATCCTTCGTTTTTGCGAGAGGTCGTGCCCTCAGATGCGCGGATACGTCGATTGCGAAGGCCTTACAGTGGAAACCCATGCCAAGAAGCACCCTGCTTGCCTCCAGAGTGCCCTGGGTTTCTTGGGTTCCGATGGTTTTGCTTTGGAAAGCGTGACGCTCCCACACCAAAAATGAATGGACGTCCTGGGGTTCCAGGGTTGGTTTTTGTGGAAGGTTTCTCTTGGTCGAGCTCCTACTGTACAAGGGATCGTGGCCCCAGTAGCGCGGATCCTTCGGTTTTGCGAGGGGTCGTGTCCTCAGAAGCGCGGATCCTTTGATTCTGAAGGCCTTATGGCTCTGCCGATCTTGAAGGGGGACGACGAGAACGGCGGCGGCGGCGACGACGAAGACGCTGACGTGGGCCAGAGGGATGCTTCTTGGGGTCTCTTCGGAAGGCTCTCAGGGGCCTTTGAGGAGGAATCCTGGGAGCCTCTTGGGAGCCTCCTGGGAGCCTCTTGGGAGCCTCTTGGGGTCTCTTCGGGCTTCCTGAGGACCTCCTGTGGGCCTCTCTCTTGGGGACCTCTGGGTGGCCTCGAGGGAGCCTCGAGGGGCCGAGGGCTCGAAAGGTCCATTCGGGTCCCCCGTCTGGGCACGCTCTTGGAGCCGTCTTGGGGGCCTCTTGGGCCGTCTTGGAGGCGCTCCCAGACTCCCTCGCGCTGTGAAAAACACCACGGGAGGTTTTTCGCTATTTTCGGCCTCCTGGGGGCCTCATTGGGCCTCGGGACTGTCAAAAAGGGTTCAGGATGAAGAACTGGTCCCGAGGAAGGGGTCCAGACCTCTGGGTGTCGACGTTGTGAAAAAATCACGACGTCGGGGTCTTGTGTTGTGGGGTGTCTTGGGGGCCTCTTGTGCCGTATTGGAGCGGCAGGCAGCTCAAAAGGCGAGACCGCCCAAGTCCTCGAAAAACCAAAAGGAATCAATGAATTTTGCTTCGGTGGGCCCTTTTCGGGGGTGCTCTTGGAGGTTTCTTGGGACGTCTTGGCGACCTCCTGGGCAGTCTGGAGGGCGTGAAGGCGTTTTGGACCGATAGTTTGGCGATTGGGGGCCCTCTTGGACCGTCTCGGGGGCCTCTTGGTGCACTCTTGGCCTGTCTTGGTACTTTCGGAGGCTCCAGGACCCTCATGGGGGGATGCGCATCTGACCGCCCCCCCAGCGTAATCCCCCCCCCAGGACCCCCCCCCTGCCCCCCCAGGACCCCCCCCGACGTGGGAGGGACGACACTGTTACATGGCTCGAACAGACGAGCCCACACGCCGGCAGGGCCGGCGGATTTCTACGAGGGGTCGTGGCTTCGGGAGCGCGGATCCTTTGGCTTGTGTGAGGGATCGTGGCCTCGGGTGCGCTTTTCCAGGAGAAGGGGGCGGAGGGAGGAGCGGTGCACGCAATTGGACGAGACCTGGAGAAGGGGGGGTCCCCTCCAAGATTGCAAAAGCCCCGCTGGACAGCCACTGGCACCCTGCCACGCCTCCACTTGCCAGGGGGGCACTGGCGGACCTGGAGCATCGGCGTGACCGCCCACGTGCTCTTGTGTGGGTATCCCAGAAGGACAACAGAAAACCGGAACATCAGCTTTCGAAGCTCTGCGCAGATTTCTTGCATTGGCTCTGGACCCTCCTCCTTGGTGCGCGGAGCGCGCCAGGGGTGCCGCCCGAGGCGCCGCCAGGGGGTCCAGCGCCGATCCAAGAAGTCCGCGCGGAGCACCGACAGTCTACTTCTGTGCAGTTTTTTGTTCTTCGATGTCCGCCCTTCACTGGCGGATCCGACCAGAGCGTGCTCAAGAAGGTGTCGAGGGGGCGCTTCAGCTTCGTCCCGAGGCACTGGGCGCCAGTGTCCCCGAACGCCAGGGCGCTTGTCTCGAAGCTTCTGTGCAAGGATCCGCAGAGGCGGCCGACGGCGTCGCTGGCGCTCAGCGACGACTGGCTGAGGTGCTGGGCAGATGCGGAGAGGGGCACCATTCCCTGCGGCCTCGTGGAGAGTCTGCGCAGGTTCATTCGGGTGCAACTCCTGGGAGATTAAAACTCGGCATCGGCGCTGGTCTATCAGCGGTCGAAATCGGCCTGATCGATCTGGCACAGCCCCGCCTGATTGCGCTCAATGCCGCTTAATAATCTGGCCCAGTTGGGCTTAATCTCGGGCTTAATTCAGCGCTTGATCTGGCTCCATGGCCTCCCAATCGGGCTTCATAGCCCCTACCTGTTCTTACGAAGACCTCCAGGAGACAGTTTTCATACCCCCTGGCAATGACGGGCGTGACCGGGGGGGCGGGGGAGGGGGGAGGGGGCTGGTGCCGCCACGATTCGCGCCGGCTGATCCCCAGACGGCGCCGGCGCGAATCGTGACGTGACCAGACCAGGCGGGGGAGAGGTGGGGGGGGGGCCGGTCAGGGGCGTTACCGCGCCACACAAGTGGCGCGCATGCCCCGGCTTTTGTGCGAGGGAGCGGCGGGGGAAAGGAGAAGCGTGGAGGCCAGGAGGTCCGCACTGGCCAGGGAGGCGAGCGACGACGACGCCGACGAAGGCGAGGGGCTCCGCGCCACGGCTTCGGGCTGGACGGGCTGGGAGCCACGGGCCAGGAGGTCCTCGGAGCTCAAGAGGCGGGTGTCCATGCCAACGGGGGGTCAGTCAGAGCGCCGGATCTTGCAGGATCCTGCAGGGCAAAGTGGTGCACTGACCCAGGCTTGGGGGCAGGACCCTGCAGGATCCTGCAGGAGCTTGCAGGATCCTGCCAGGCCTGACCGACCCGGGTTTGGATGGACCCGGGCCCGCAGAGCCTCGAGGTCCGGGAGGTCCGAAGTGGCCAGGGAGGCAGACGAGCCAGGGCCAGGGCCCAGGGGCAGGGCCAGGTGCCCGACGGCCACGGCCGCGGCCGCGGCCACGAGTACCAGAAGGGCTCCGAGAGCTCGGGAGCACAGCCGCGCAGGAGAGTAAAGAAGTTGGCCCCCACGAAGATCTCCGGAAGTCAAGGGAGGAAGAACCACCCAGGTCCCGACCATTGGCGTTTGCTGAATGGCCCTGGGCGTTTACTACACAGCCTGGCCTGTTCGATTCCTCCCTCGGGTGCGTTTACTACACGGCTTCGCTCGTCGGGGTGCTCATGATGGGGGTGGGTCCTCTTCCCTCCAAACAGAGTCGCCCCCTGAGGTTCCGGTCCGCGGACGTGCTCTCGAGAGCGGCCCGCCACGTCCTCGCTGGGCTGCTGGACGACGTCGAGGCGCGCGCCGCCCGCGGCGCGTTCCTGGCCCTGGACCGCGACGGGGACGGGCGGGTCTCCCAGGCCGAGCTGCGAGAGGTCGGGGGCGAAGTCCGAGCCCCGCCCTCGCCGATCACCGCTTCGGGCAGCTCGAGGGGCGGCGGGGGTGCAGTCGGACCGAGGTGTGAGGTCTCGAGGGGTCGGTTCGGGAGGGTGCCCTATAGTGCTCTTCGTGCTTGTTGGGTGTTCTTGTGCACCCTGGGGGGGGTACCCGATCGGATGTGCTGTGCGTTGTGGCCAGCGAAGGGTCTCGCGTTCTCGAGGGATGTTCCTCTGTCCTAGGTCTGGCGGTATAGGGTTCGGAATTCTTCGAGCACGCGGCGGAGTTCGAGCCCTGCCCTCGCCGATCACCGAGTCGGGCAGCTCGATGGGCGGCGGGGGTGCAGTCGGACCGAGGTGTGAGGTCTCGAGGTCGGTTCGGGAGGGTGCCCTACAGTCGGGGCCCTGAAGAAGGAACGCTTTTCGTTGGGGAGGGGCTCCGTGTTCCTTGATCGCTTCACAGTTTGCCTTAGGTTTTGCTTTGGTTTTCGATGGGAAATCGAAGTCCAACTTGTGGATCTAAGGGGCCTCGTTCCTTATTTAGGGTTCCTTGGGTCAACGCTCCGACTGTAGTGCTCGTCGTGCTTGCTGGATGTTCTGGTGCACCCTGGGGAGGGTACCCTTGGGATGTTCTGTGCGCTGTGGCCAGCGGACGGTCTCGTGCTCTTGAGGGCTGTTCTTCTTTCCCAGGTCTGGCGGTATAGGGTTGTCGGAATTCTTCGGGCACGTGGCGCAGTTCGGGCCCTACCCTTCTGCGGCAACTCACTGGAGCCTCCCATCCAACTTTTTTGTGGGGATCCGGTGGATCGACGCTGAATCGACGCTCATGCACAATGCTACCATGATGGTTTGTTACCGAACTACCCGCGCCTCCCATCGATTCAGGCAGGAGCATCGATGCTTGGTGGGGATCGGGTTCGGATGTCGCCACCCAAGAGGGCCTCGGGCGCAGCGGCTTCGAGCTCTCGGAGCAGGATCTTCTTAGGGGCCACGTTAGGGGGGGGGATGGGCTCAGGGGGGGGTGAGTTTTCGGGTTCGAGGTTCCAGATGCTCTAGCTTTTGCCCACTTCTCGGCGGTTTTCCAGGCTCGGGGTGCTCTCCAGCAACTGCGCCTCGCCGCGGGCATTCCCGGGGTGCCCCGCTCTTCCCGAGCGGCCGCTGGGGAGCCGAGTCCTGATCCGAAGACCAGGGGGCAACGTTTGGGGGGGGGACAGGCTCAGGGGGGGGGACGCATCGACCCTCAATCGCCCACTCACAGCCGATAAGGGTTCCGACAGCGCACCCTGCCCAGGAAGGTGCGGGTTCGCTATCGTGGGCTCATCGCGATCTATCGGCGATGTATCGCCGATTCCAGGTCGATGTTCCCCCCCCCATTCCCAGCGTTGCCCCTCAGGAGCTGCTGGAGATCTTCGAGGGCGTGGACGCTGATGGCAACGGCACCATCGAGTACACGGAATTCTTGGCCGCCACGGTCGACAGGAGCACGCGCCTGAAGGAGGGCATGTGCCAGGATGCCTTCGATGTCTTCGACTGGAACGGGGACGGACGCATCTCTCGCAAGGACCTGATGCACGTCCTGCGCAATTGTCGCCTCTCCGAGGCCGTCGGTGCCGAGATCCAGGACATTGTTGACGCACTAGAGCACAACGAAGGCGGCAGTCTGAGCTTCACGGAGTTTACCGATAAGTTGTCCAGTTGATCGGCGTGTTGTTGCCGACGTTATAAGATTATAAGTGGGGATCGACGTTATAAGTGTTGCACCGCGAGCGTGACTGCTACTGCGCACGCGCTGAGAGTATAGCGGCAGTGAGCACGCTCGCTCGCGCACGAGCGCGGCAGCTGTGCCGACATCTTCCTGGCTCTGCCCTCCCTCCGCGGGTGGGGCGCTGCGGCTCCCTCTGTCCGCCGCGCCTCCTCCGTGGGCCCTCCTCCTCCTCCTCCTCCTCCTCCTCCTCCTCCTCCTCCTCCTCCTCCTCCTCCTCCTCCTCCTCCTCCTCCTCCGCCTCCTCTCCGCGCCGCCTCCTCCTCCGTGAGCCCCCTCCTCCTCCTTGTCGGCCACTATCGGGTACCTGCTGGCCCCCTCGAGCGGCTGGCACAGGCAGGGTGGAGACGCTGCCTCCGGACGGCTGGCCGCGCACACCTCGCGGCGTGCGCGAGAGACCTCCCCTCGAAGCTCCAGAGGGGAGTGACGGGCACCGGGGAGCACGGCCGGGGCGGCCTCTCTCGCGCGCCTCCTGCGCGGCCGCGGGCACGGTACACGAGCTGCCTGCCCGTGCGCCGACAGAGATCTGAGGCGGGGGTTTATCCATGATGTGTCCACATCCGCCGCATGCCGAGGCCCCGCAGCTCGATCCCCCCTCTTTCGGTGGTTATGGATAAGCCCCCACCTCGCGCGAGAGCCCAATCCTCATCGAAGGGGCCGGACTTACAAACAGTCTCGCCGAAGCGTTCACGAGCTCCGTCGCAAGATTTGCGCCTGTGCTTCACTTAGGGCCGCTGCTCTGCCCGCTGTCCCGCGACTCGGCAGCCTGCCCGCATTAATCCCGCCTGTCCGTCGTCATGGCCCAGGCCTTGAGCGGTGGCGGCACCCGTGGATTGGCCAGAGAGCTTTCGAGCCCTCAAGTTTGCCTGGGGGACATCTGCGTCTCTCGTCGGGTGGCTCTGAGCCGCATTAAGTGTGTAAGTGGGCAGATCAGCTAAGAAGTTGGGCTGCCAGCTGGTGCCCTACCATAATTCAACCCCCGATGAGCCCGCAGAGCTCTAGGGCACTTTGTGAAGCCCAGAGTCAACGCAGGGTATGCTCCTAGATTTTAAAAGCCCAGGGTTCGCTAGGGACTGGTTCCCCCCCAAAAACGACCAGCATCCTTCTGAAACCCTCTTGGAACCATGCGAAAAGCATCCCAGAGCCCTTCGGAGAGGGTTTTCGGAGGGTTGCGGGAAGGTCTCGGTCGTTTTAGGGAAATGATCCCGGCAAAGCAACCTAACAGCGATGTGTATAAGCATATTTGGAAGCATTCCCCTTAAGATTCAGGTGAGAATCCAGTTGTAGAATTCTGCTGTTCTCGGAGTCGCAGTCGCATTCGCAATGACAGTCGCAGTGGCGACGGCCTTAGGATCCAATGTAATCCTAAGGATTCCTAGGGATTCCAACGGCATCCTTAGGCATCCTTAGGAATCCATAGGAATCCACAGGATTCCTAAGGATTCCTGAGGATGCCCAAGGGTTACTAAGGATTCCTGGGGATTCCTAAGGATTCCGATGGATTCCTACGGATGCCTCAGCCTGCCTCAGTTTCAGCCTCAGCCTCAGCCTGCCTCGGCTTGCCTCAGCCTCAGCCTCAGCCTGCCTCGGCCTAAGCCTCAGCTTGCCTAAGCGTTAGCCTCAGCCTGCCTCGGCCTCAGCCTGCGTCAGCCTCAGCCTCAGCCTGCCTCAGCCTCAGCCTGCCTCAGCCTCAGCCTCAGCCTCAGCCTCAGCCTGCCTCGGCTTGTCTCAGCCTCAGCCTCAGCCTGCCTCGGCCTCAGCCTAGCTCGGCCTCAGCCTGCCTCAGCCTCCCCTCCCCCCCCCTTCCCCCCCATTCAGCCTCACCTTGTCTCAGCTTCGGCCTGCCTCGGCCTCATCCTCAGCCTCAGCCTCAGTCTCAGACTCAGCCTGTCTCGGCCTCAGCCTGCCTCGGCCTCAGCCTCAGCCTGCCTCGGCCTCAGCCTGCCTCAGCCTGTCTCAGCCTCAGCCTGCCACAGCATCAGCCTCAGCCTCAGCCTCAGCCTGCCTCAGCCTGCCTCAGCCTGCCTCGGCCTCAGCCTCAGCCTCAGCCTGCCTCAGCCTCAGCCTCAGCCTGCGTCAGCCTCAGCCTGCATCAGCCTCAGCCTCCCTCAGCCTCAGCCTTCAGCCTCAGCCTCAGCCACAGCCTCAGCCTCAGCCTGCCTCAGCTTCAGCCTCAGCCTCAGCCTGCCTCCTGCCTCAGCCTCAGCCTCAGCCTCAGCCTCAGCCTCAGCCTCAGCCTGCCTCAGCTTCAGCGTCAGCCTCTCAGCCTCAGCCTGCATCAGCCCCAGCCTCAGCCTCAGCCTGCCTCAGCCTCAGCCTCAGTCTCAGCCTGCCTCAGCCTCAGCCTGCCTCAGCCTCAGCCTCAGCCTGCCTCGGCCTCAGCCTGCGTCAGCCTTAGCCTCAGCCTGCCTCAGCCTCAGCCTGCCTCGGCGTGCCTCAGCCTCAGCCTCAGCCTGCCTCGGCCTCAGCCTGCCTCGGCCTCAGCCTGCTTCAGCTCGGGCATCCAAAATATGGCACAGGACTGGTGTTCTGGGGACACGAAGATCACGAAGTGGCCCACAGCTGGCTCCGGGCAATCAAAATCACGCCCTGGAATGGAATTCTGGGAACTCGAAGACCACGAAGTGGCCTACAGTTGGCTCCGGACATTCAAAATCATGCCCAGGAATGGAGTTCTGGGAATTCGAAGACCACGAAGTGGCCTACAGTTGGCTCCGAGCATTCAAAATCATGCCCAGGAATGGAGTTCTGGGAATTCGAAGACCACGAAGTGGCCTACAGTTGGCTCTGGGCATTCAAAATCATGCCCATGAATGGAATTCTGGGAACTCGAAGACCACGAAGTGGCCTACAGTTGGTTCCGGGCATTCAAAATCATGCCCAGGAATGGAGTTCTGGGAATTCGAAGACCACGATGTGACCTACAGTTGGCTCCGGGAATTCAAAATCATGCCCAGGAATGGAGTTCGGGGACCTCGAAGACCACGAAGTGTGTAACTGTTTGCTTAAAACGACTTCCGCGGGTTCTCCCCGGCACCCGCCCAGACCCCCCTGGGGAGTCAAGATGCTCTCTTTTGACACTACTAGAAACCTATCAGTCTTCGCTGTTAGGTAAAGACCCCTCCCTAGCGAACCCTGGTTTTCCCTCATCCTGGATTCACTGGCTTACGCCACCCCCCCGATCATAGGAAGGTGATTCATGTGTTGCTATTCTTCTCCTCTTCCTCATCTCTCTTCTCTTCCTCTTTCTCCTTCTCTGATTGCATTGCGCCAGACCCACGTTTTCAGCCTACAGTCCGACCGAGGTATAAGATCGACATCGGTTCGGGGAGGATGCCCTCGTTTTCTTCGTGCTTGTTGGATGTTCTTGTGCATCCTGGGGAGGGAACCCTTGGATGTTCTGTTTGTTTTGGCCGATGGAGGGTCTCATGTTCTTGAGGGATGTTCATCTGGCCTAGGTTCGTCTGTACGCGCTGAGAACCGTGTTAATACGCTACGTGTATGCGTGTTGTGTATCGGGGCAGCTAAGGATTACAGTTGAAATCGATAATACGGATGGATAGCCTTCTCAATGTACCCGTTCATCCTTGTCTCTTCGGTCTATCCTTAACCATATTCGAGGCCCAGTCCCGCTGGACAAGCTTCGACATGGGCGTCCAAATGGCTTGCATTCTCATCACGCATCCTTGCTATCAACTTTGACTGTATGGTTGGTGCTGCAAAGATAGCGTGCGATTTGGCGCCGCCGGCCCGCTATGACACGCTATCGCCCGCCTTGAAAGATAGCGTGCGCCGAAGAAGTCGGGGCGAGGGGCTGGCGTGCACAAAAGGGGCCCTCGCGAGGTGATCGCCTCACAGGTATGGCGTGCTGTTCGGAGATCGAGGTTGCACGCTATCTCTCCTCTGCCAACCGTACAAGAAAGCATGAATCGGCGGCGAGACCAGGGGGAACACGAGAAGGGGCGAGCCTTCTCAGAAGGCTTGGAAGCCCCCGTGCCTTCTGAGAAGTTTACTAAGCCTTCCCCGAAGATGCAGAAAACCTCTCAGAGGGCGCGAGGGTTTCTGAGAAGCCCCTCTGCCTTCTGAGAGGGCCTCCCTGAGATCCGACGTTGCGACCAAATTGCGACATCGCAGAAATTCACGACCGGAGCCCCGGACCCCATCCTTCTGCGTCATGTTTTCGAGCCAGGTCGATTTGTGAGGGTGCATGGGGCCCGAAACGGGGCGAACACGCCCGCCGTGAAAAAATTGCAGCGCCAGGATCTCAGGGCTCCTCCTCCTCACTTCCCCTCCTCCTCCTCCTCCTCCTCCTCCTCCTCCTCCTCCTCCTCCTCCTCCTCCCTCGCCGCCGAAGGATAACACATGAGCCGGCCGGCCTGGCTGGTCTGGCGGGCCGAGACGTCCTTCCAGCGCTCGGGCCTGTCCATGGGCCGTGCCGCGCAGGCCTTCAGGCATCCAGCAGGTGGCTTCCGGGTGTTCCGCGTGTTACGGGGGCCAGCGCCCCTCCCCACCTGACGCTAACGATGGTGCTGGGGGGAAGGGGCCTGGACCCCCTCCCTAGATGCTGCGGTGCGCACAGGCGATTGATGCGCCGGTGGCGCGGACGCTCCCTGGCGGGTGCACTTTGCGGCCGCCGTTGTCGTTACCCTCCCGCCCGACCCCCCCCCCGTTAACTGGGAAAGACAACAAAACGAGGCACGTGAGCGACACAACAAAATGAAGTCGTTTGTGCCGACATTGGCGCGTAACCTGCCCGCGGAAGGTCACGCGTGGGCGCCTTCGTCTCCGATGCGGTGTGCCGCGCCGGCGGCCCGCGTAAGCCACCGCGCAAGGTCGCTGCGCCATCTCGCGTAAGACCGGTTCCCGATCGTCGCCCACGTGTCTTTCTAGCGTCTTGGTGCTGCGTGAGCATCGGTTTCTCGGAGGGCCACGCGGATGCCTCGTGCCGGCGCGTGACGCCCCCTTGGCGGCGCGGCCGCTGGCGCGCTGCGTGCGCCAGTGTGGGGGCTGTGCAGCGCTTACCCGAGAATTCCGCGCGAGCCTCAAAGCATATGTTTGTGCAGCTGTTGTTCCTCGGTCTCCTCCGTCCGCATCCCCCTGGGGCTCGCGAGTCGCCACCCGATGCCGTTGCCTTGCCCGCATCGGGCGCTTTTGGGGTGGCGGTGATGGTGGCGGCTTGTGCGGCATCAGTGTGCCTTCTTGGGATCCTCCCCTCCATCTTTCCCCCCGCATCCACATCCACCAGGCTCCGATGGGGAGGAGGACGGGGTGGCGGCGGGGGAGAAGTCTCCCACTCCTCCAACCCTCTCTCACCTCCGAGGCTTTCGCTCATGCGATGCTCTGCAGAAGCTGACCTGGCGCCTGGTATCTGCTTGCCGCGCCGGCTGTTCCGATGTTCGACCCTCTTCGGTCTGACTCATTGGTCTGACGCCACCGCCGCCGACCCCCCTGACGTTTTCGCGATTGTGATTGGCACCCGCTTATAGGTTTCCATAGGACCCTCCGACCGATCTTTAACGGATTGCATTCTCATGGGACGAAGAATTTCGCGTTGCTCAGTCCTCCCGTCGAGGTGCTTTCTATCTGATGTACTTCTGCTGCCTCAGCTCCTTCCCAGGCCCGAGCTTGCTATGCCAGTCTAGGGCATGGAGGATCTGATTTATCACAGCGATGCTGGCACGTTTTCAGGATCTACTGCGGCTCGGAGAGCCGCCGAGCCTCCGGAGAAGGCTGACTGTGGCCTCGTCGGGCCCGCTGTCCACTGAATCGCATCCAGCTCTTTCCAGCTCTTGTTTCTCTCTACCTCTTCTCCCTTCTCCCCAGTTTATGGCTGCAGCTCGCCTTGCCATCTTGTTGCTGGTATTGATAGCAGCCGCCCCGCAGCCACTGCTGGAGTGTGGCCTCACAGCAGCTGGTGACAGCATACCGGCTGTCCAGCGCGCGCAAGGTCAGACATGGTCGTGGGGTGACTGTGGACGCAGTGCATTCCAGTTTGCCCTCCTAGCTTCTTCCTGCTCACCTGTAATCTCTTCCGCCGTACTATCAAAACATGTAGTAAGGATGAGCAACTTTCCAGGGCAATCCTTGTATCCTTCCTTATCGTTCGTCTTTATTATTCGAGTTGGCTGTACTCCTCCCTTCCACCAAAGCACGCCTGTCAATACTGCGTCAACTGTTGCACCTCCCAGCCAGCGCTGCTCGGCAGGCCTGTTTTATAAGTTCGCAGTCCCTGCTCGTGGGGCGTCACGCTTTCTAGCGTCCGATCGGACCTTTGCTTTGCTTTGCTGTATTCCTCCTCCCGCCATCCTCTCTTGGATTCTGCTCTCGTGCCAGCGGCAGCGTGAGGGCTTGCACAGGCTTCTGAAGGGGCAGCAGGCGCGATCGGAGATTGGCAAAACAGTCTTCTGCCGGGCATCAGCCTCGACAAGAGAGAGAGAGATAGACAGAGAGAGAGAGAACTATATATATATATATATTTATATATATATATATTTATATATTGAGAGAGGGAGAGAGAATGAGAGAGAAGGAGACAGAGAGAGAGAGAGGAGAGAGAGAGAGAGGGAGAGAGAACGCGATACTTGTGTCAACCGTCCTGTGGTTCTGGATCCTCGTTTTGAAGAGACTGACCTGCGTCCTCTTCTCCTCTCCTCTCCTCTCCTCTCCTCTCCTCTCTTCTCCTCTCCTCTCCTCTCCTCTCCCCTCCCCTCCCCTCCCCTCCCCTCCCCTCCTCTCCTCTCCTCTCCTCTCCTCTCCTCTCCCTCTCCTCTCTTCTCCCCCCCTCCCCTCCCCTCCCCTCCCCCTCCCCTCCCCCTCCCCCCCTCCCCCTCCTCCTCCTCCTCCTCCTCCTTCTCCACCTGTCCGTGTTATATCTATATGTACGATATATACACGCACCTAGTGACCTTCGGCCCATCCGACCACCGTGCCTGGGTTGTATGTCAGAGGCCTCTGGGATGTCTGTTAGTATTTCTCGGGAGGCCCCTCGGACGCCTAATGGATTCTGTGTTTTGGGTGTCTCGTGGGCCTCTTGTGGGTCTCTTGGGGGCCTCTTGGAGTCTGATTGGGGCCTCTTGGGGGCCTACTGAAGCTTGCGGGGGGCCTTTGGTGGGCCTGCTGGCGCCTCGGGGGCGATCTTGGGTCGAAGGGCTCGACATGTAGGTTTGTGTTTCCCTTCTGGGGCCTCTTTAGGGCCCTTCTTGGGGCCCTCTTGGGCCGTCTTGAGGGCCTCTTGGGCTATCGTGGGGCCATCTTGGGCCGTATGGGGGCGCTGGTGGGGGCCTCTTGGGCCGTCTTGGACAGTTTTGGGGCGTCTTGGGGGCCTCTTAGACCCTCTGGGAGCGTCGAAAACCAGAGAAGGCGAGAACGCTACAATCCTTCAGATACATAGGATCAATCAAACAATTGCATCTCGGGACCGTCTTGGAGGGCCTCTTGGAGCCCTCCTGGGGCGTCTTGGGGTCCTCTTCGGCCGTCTGTAGGCCATCTTGGGCTTCCTGGGGCGATCTTGGGCGGTCTTGGAGGCCTCTTGGGCGTTTCTTGGGGCCCTCTTGGGCCGCCCTCGGGCCTCTGGAACAGCCACGCGGGGAAGCCCAGGAGTGCGCGGCAGCGCCCCGAAGATTTGAGATTTTGGGCTCCTTGCCCAGGATAAGAGCGTTACAATATGAAGTACAGGGTGCCCCTGGTCTTCGAGAAGTTTTTTGGTGTCCTCGGGTCAGGCTTGGAACATGTCTAAGATTGCCCGAGGACTTCTGGGCCTTCTGAGAAGGCCCGCCTCCTCTCACTTCCCCCCCAGGCTCGCCGCCGACCAGTGTCGTCACTGCTCTGCTGCCGCGGCGCGCCTGCGAGGGTCCTGGAGCTTCCAGCAGCCGCCTGGGGCCATGCCCGTCGCCCTGCCCGCCGTAGAGACCTGCTGGAGCAAACTTTGGTCAGGGCCCCATTCGTCTGGTACCTGATCGTCGCTCTGCTCCGCGCCGGGACTCCAACGGCCCGGGATGCCAACGACTCGTCGGCCACCTTGCGAGTGGGCGAAAAGCATATCCGTATATCCACGGCCTCGCGGGCCGGGCCTCCGAGTCGCGACCAAGCGGATGCGGGGCGTTTTTTCGCGGATGCCCCTCGCGGAAGGTATCTGTGGGACCGCATATCCGCGGGATCGCGCCCCGGAATCCAGACCGCGAAGGCGCGGTTACGCATGAGTTCGCCGCTCGTGATCCGCGCCCCCCCTCGTGGCCCGCACTCGCATCACGGAACAGCAAACTGCGCCAACATATTTTTCTCGGAGGTCCGCGCGGAAATCTCGGATCGGCGCCGGGACCCCTTGGCGGCGCCTCTGGCGCCGGCCCTGGCGCGCTCCGCGCGCCGGGGAGGGGAGTCCAGCGCCGATCCCAGAACTCTTCGCGGACCTCACGGAAATTGGTTCTGTCGTTTTGGTGTCCCTATCGGAGGGATGCTCTGGCGGGAGACTGCTGCTTGTAGGAGAGGTCGTCGTCGTCGTCCATGGATCCGTCCGCAGCCACAGGCACCCCCGCGTCCGCCTGTGGGGGAAGACAAACACCCAGGACATATGGGAAAATATGGTGAATCACTGCCGCTCGAGTCCATGCCCTCGCCGACCTCCCGGGACCTCGGCGGGCTGCAGCAGAGCTTCGACGAGGCGGCCCGCGGCAGTCACTGCCGCGTGCTGGCCGTGTGCGAGCCGCCCTCCTGAGGGCCGGGCGGGGCCTGGGGGTCGGGCGCGTGGCGACAGCAGGGGGCCGCTATGGTGAATCACGTAATCTGTGTGTATTTATTTGTGTGTCCCAAGGCCCCTTCAAAACACCTCGCTCGGGGACTGCTGGGCCGCGCGCCTGAGGCACGCTGGCCTTTGACTCGTTCTCGGCTCTGCCGGGTCCTTCCATGGCCATGGACGCAGCTTGAAGCCCCAGTGCTCAAGGACGGGTTGGCCACATTTTGGTGGCGAGCCCAGGGGGGTAGTGGAAAGGGGGCGAGCTTTCTCAGAAGGCTCGGAGGTCTCCCAGCCTTTCGAGAAGTGGTGTAAGCCTTCCCCGAAGACGCTGAAAACTGTTCAGAAGGCGCGAGGGCTTCAGCAATTTCCGTCGCCTTCTGGGAAGGGCTTCCCTTCTCACTTCCCCCCTCGCCCGCCGCCGAACAGATGTCGCGAAAATCGCAGATGTCGAATCTGGACAGAACGCCAACGTCCTTCTCGTCAGTGCCGTTCTCGTCCTCGCCGTCGGAGTCCTGGCGGAAGGGGTGCGGGCTGCGTCTCACAAGGACCGGCAGGCTCTCAGCTCGCCGACACTGGCTCGTCCAGCTCTGTCCGCTGCCGCTCCAGCCGACCGCCCGTACAGGCCGCCGTTGCAGCCGTCTCCGCCTCCGCTCCTTCCAGGAATAGCCCCACGCCCCGGCTAAGAACTGCATCTCCCCTTTGACCCATCTTCTGCTGATGATCTCCAGGGAAGAACCTGATTATCCCCAGTGTGTGATTATCAGGGGGATGGAGGCGGGCGTGGCCCTCTACAGGAGGAGTGCTCAAGAATAGTCAAGACATAGTTTGGGGACTACTTTTTTGAGTATTTTTAGAAGGGTTATGCGGCGGAGTTCCTAGTGAAGCGCCTGCGCGGCCGTCTCGGCGAGGCGCTCGGTCAGCGTGGTTTCGCTGAGATGCGGACGCAATTTATGTACACTGTGCATCCACTACGGGAGATATTCAAACTTTGGTTTTAAACAAGTAGTCAGGGGACGATGTTTATTTATTGTTTGATTTTTCTTGTATCGTTTGACATTTGTTCGTCCAGAATCCGCCTGTAGAAGGACATGCCCGACCTGATACTACGCCTCGGATTTTCGGACTCCCTTCCTTAGAGACCCGAGACGCCGTGGACATGGATAACAGACGGCCTCTACCGAGGCTTTTTTGGGGGGATCATTTCCACTGGTTCTCGGATTTCTGGCATCCATTCCCCAAGAGTCCAAGACGATATGGATCTGGATATAGATACTGCCTGAATGAGTGGCGTTCACAGCCCGTCGATTGCGAGCTTCTTGGTCTGCGTCTTGTGGTACTGGTTCTTCGTCTGCTTCCTGTGGTTGCCCTTTGCCACCGCCTCTGTCGACGAGCTGGCCGCACCCCGCGTGCACGCCCCCGCGAGGGGCCCGGCTCGCCGGTTCCGCTCCAAGGCTGTGCGCGCGGGCGGTATTGTCGGCGAGGACGATGTCCTGCGGTGGTGCAGCTCGGCGGCTTGAGGGGCGCCACAGGGGGCGACGGGGCCTTTTCGCGTGGGGCTGCGGGCACAGTGGGCACGTCGGCAGGTGCCCCACGGAGAGTTCCCACCAGCCGATGGCCGCAGGGACCCACGGGAGCCTCAGGGGCACCGCAGGTCTCTCGAAGATCGACGAAGCCTGTGCCCAAAGATGTCTCATGTCAAGATCTCTTGTCGTATCCGCGTACTGTGCTGCTTCACTTGTGACTGCGGGACTCGGCGCTCGCACTGCGGCATGCTGCGCTGCTGGTCCCGCCGCATGGAGCACATCTCCTCGCTTTTCATGCTGCGCCCCTCCAGCCCTGGGTGCTGGGAGATCGAGCGGCTGCGCCGCGGCCGGCTGCTGCCGTGGCGTCGGGGGCTGCGGCCGCGTTGCTTGGGCGCGATCGCGCCTCATGCCATCGATGGCCCTCGTCTTACGGGGCCCCAAAATATCCACCACCGCCTCCCTCACCCTCTCCCTCTCCCAGGAAAGGGGGGAGAAAGAAATGGCCGGAGGAGGGGAGGGGGGATGAAGGTGGTGGTGGTGTATATTTTTTGCATCCGCGTGTCCGCTCTTGAAGCCGAGGAACTTTTGTTGCCTCCCCCGTGTGCACCCCCCAGGGCCGGC